ATATACACACACACAGAACGTGTTCCGTTTCTTCATCATTCGGTCGTCCGATGCGATTAGAGACTGGTGTAGAACAAGATCAGGCCAGAAATTTCTTCCTACCAGGCGTGTGGGGTGCCTGGCGATCTGGCTACTCTACCATTTCGTTGGTGGGCTTTCTGCAGCTTTGTCACCACTCCGCGCTACAGTCCAAACCAAAGCTGTTTCCATGTCGGATGGGAAGGCTCAGACAGCAAGTTCTAAGAAAAAACTCCTAGGAGATTATATAGGTCAGCCAGGGGTGAGAACCACTGCTCTAGAAGTCTCCCTTTGCGGAGTTTAGAGCGTTCAGTTAATTAGTTCAACACATGAAGGCCTATTACTTGACAGGAGCTTGTCTGGGAGCTGTGGACGCTGGTGAACGCAGCAGCTCTGATCTTTATCGTGCACATGTGTGTGTTACAGAAAGAATCTACTGAAGGCGCCATGTGCACTAGATGGTCCAGAAAATTCCTGCACAATCCACGGGCCCTTCCCCACTTCTTCAAAACCTCCTCCAAAGCAGAGCAGAATAAGAACAAAAGAAGAAATGTCATTTCACTGCAGGAAAACTGAAAAATGGAGGGAGAAAGCAGGAGGGAGAAGGTCCAGGTGGGTCCACAGCAGGGGGTCCCCGGGACCTGGCGTGTCTGTGCCTGTGACTGAACACTCCGGTCACCCTAGACCAGTGATGGCGAACCTTCTGAGCTTGGCGTGTCAGCATTTTGAAAAACCCTAACTTAACTCTGGTGCCGTGAAATTTTTTGATATTTGCAACCATCGTAAAACAAAGACTTATGTTTTTGATATTTATTTTATATATTTAAATGCCATTTAACAAAGAAAAATCAACCAAAAAAATGAGTTCGTGTGTCACCTCTGACACGCGTGTCATAGGTTCGCCATCACTGGCCTAGAGGCAGGAGTTGGAGGCACGGGGGAGGCCAAGCAGCGCTAGCTGAGCTCTGTGCCTGGATGGTCACCCTTTCCACCCTCACTCCCGAAGACACACCTGTAGGAATAGAGCTTGTAGGTCCTATTAAAAATCTGCAGTGACGTCAGGTAGCCGGGTGGGGAGGTCCGAAGGGTGTCCTGGGGAAGAACATGAGGGTTACTCCCCTTCCTGCTGGCCTTTCTAGAAAACTGTCCCCAACTCCCTCAACTCGTTTCAAGGCACAAGGATATTCACAGATGTATTCAATTAAAATAGCTGTTCATTAAGCCAAGTTAAGCTTTTCATTGGGGCAAGAATAAAAACGAAACATCCAAAAAGTAGGTTTCTCCTTCTTATGAATAACATTAACTGATTCTGACAAATATGGCCCAACCAAGAAAACGATGAGTAAATTTCCTAAGTGCTCTTCTGCTGAACACTAAAGCTAATAATATAAAAAATGGTGGAGGAGGAGGGTACTGTCAGGGAGGGAAGGAGAGGGCCCACTTCACATTCTCTGGCCCAAGGGGTTCCAGTAGTACATACTCTATCACCCCACACATTTTCCATTTTTTCCAGGGAGCGTTAAATCAAACTAAGCAGCGTTAACTGAATGGATCTGGCCCTCCTACGAGGACCTGACGGCCTGGGCCCAGAGACACCAGGTCTCCGGGCCTCCCCAGGGAGGGAGCCTGGGAAGGTGGGACCCCCACAGGGGCTGGTTACCTCAACTCTCGGAAGGAAGGTGATCTGCGTGGACCCTCCGCCCAAATCCAGCATGCCCACACTGTTGCTTCCTGGGGATTTCAAACTGCCTGGAGCACAGGAGGAGAAACCAACCCAGCACTGTCACATTAGTAAACAGATGAGTACAGCAGACAAGGAAGGGGAGGTTAGAAGCCTGGCCCTTCAGTGGAAACAAAAACAGAAGCAGCGGCAGCTATTTGAAACTCTCCACATAAAGACGCACCGTGTTTAAGAGACATGAGCAATGGCTCCACTGGTGGTGGCAGAGATGCTGGGCCGGCCACACCTGCGGCTCCTGCTCGGGGACACTGACTTCCCCGATACCCCAAAGGCCCCAGCCTGGCCCCCCGCCCCCCCCCCCAGTTTGAGGGTTAGGTCCCTGATGTGTCATTTAACAGTGTCCCTTATTCCCCAAGGGCAGGAAACGGCTTTCTTTTCTATATACGTGTCAGCCACTCTGGTCTTTTCCATCATTTTACAAAGGGGCAAAACTCCACAGGTACTGATTAATCTAAGAAAAGTAACTCCTTGCTGCCTGGTTCCAAAACAGAGGTTTCTGCTCCCTGTTCTACCTGCTGTCGAGGAATTCAGTTAGAAGGTGATCAGCATGTACATCATGTTTAATATTCAAAGTGACCAGCTTTATTCCTGACTTCCCAGAAATGAGAGGACAGGGCCCCGGCGGCGGCTGCTGCTGCAGGAGGAGGGTAGCGTGCGCTGGGGGAACCCACCGGGACTGTGGAGAGGAGAGCACCCCTTCCTGGGCACATACGTCTGTGAACTCTACGCCTGCCCTGCCAAGCCAGGCGGACACCCCACCCATTCCAACTACCTACTCTGAGCCAGAACTTGGCAAAAACCCCGAGGGGGTATTTTAAAGAGTAGAAAAGAGGCCCCTGCTCTCAAGAATGGGGTCTGAGCTGTTAGCCTCCATGATGAAGTGGATGTACCTGTTAGGAAGTTGACGGTGATCCAGGCTGAAATGCCTACGAGAGAGTCACAAAGAGCATTGAGTCACGCGAGGGGCTGTGGACAACATACGGACGCAGGTGCTACCTTTAGGTTTCAGGAGCGCAAACTGACCACTTCCTCACTACCCTCCGCCTTCAGATCAGGGACAGAGGGAAGACTGAGTCATGCCATCAAGTGGCTTCTGGCAGACAGTTGTAGGAGGTACCATCCTAAAAAACTAGAATACTCTGCCAAATGTCACATCTCACTCCTTTCTCAACTTCCTCTTTTCGGAAGAGGCTAAAAGAGAACCAAACGTCCCCTTTCCCTCCCCATACAAACAAACTCTTACAGTCATATTTAAAGCCAGGGGCTGGTGAGGAACCTTACTAAGTGTATCTTAGGATAAACAATGCAACAGTAACACTGGAAATATGGTAGTAATTGGGCATTCTCTTTAAATGCTCTTAAAATGGAAAGAATGATTACTTTTAGAAACTTCATCTGTGCTAGTCAAGGTGAGAATCTAACACTGGCTCCAAGAAGACCCTCGGAGATAGTTAAACTGCGAACTGGAATGGGATGGTCGCTCAGTCCTGTCCATCCGTGCGTCTGACCCCGAGAGAGCTGAGTGCTCCCAGCGGCCCTGAGCACGGCCGCCTCACCCTGAGAGCCTCCTCGCACAGAATGCTCTGGCAACTCTACCTTCATCGGTTCCGTTCATGATGGAAACGCAGTCGTCCCCTACAAGGAAAGGTGACGCCTTAAACACTTCCTTCACCTAGATGTAAAGAGAGACACGTCTTTATCCTCTAAAATCTAAATTCACAGTCCCAATCAGACTATCTTCTAGCAGGGGGTCTCAAAACAAAGTAGCAAAGCTCAGGTTTTGTGTTCGGCTTTTATGATGCTCTGCCAGCGCTTTCCTTGTTAATCTACTCCCTGGGCTAGGGACGCAGACGCTGCCCTGGAGAGCCCTGTGCTGAAGCAGATGCTGCCGGGGAGAGCCTGCCCTAAGGCACTCTGGCCTGGAAGGCTCTGGGGTGCACTGACTCTGCTGAGCCCCAAAATGCTGCCATGCTTTAGGACGGGGATGAAGGGGCAGGAAGCCCTCTAAGGCAGAGCTCAGAGCCGGGACCCCCGCATGGCCTGGAGACGAGCTGGGAGAGAGGAGGCAAAGGCAGTGAGCAGCTCCATTTGAGGTGTTTCCTTATCCATTTTTTTTAAATCAAATATTGACACACAGGAACTTAAATACACTGGGTACACCCCAAATGCAGTGGTGTCCCATAATCCTACTTGGGTGCCTAATTTTATAAGTGATCTGGACGGATGTGCAACCACCCATTGTTCAGCAGCTGGTTTAGAAATAGTATAGAGGACCGGGAGGACCATTCTGCATAGAACAGTTTTCCTGATTTGGCTGATGAAAGCAACCTCCAGGCACCTGTTAAAGAGGGGTTCCAGGGCCCCCTGCATGGGTGGTGCAGGGCCTGGGGACACGCCTGGCCATGTGAGAGCCAGGAAGAGGCTCAGGGTCTCTGCAGAAGGTACACCTGAGTCTCGGCCTGGGAGCAGGACTGGCTCCCATGAGAACAACAGGCTGGAGCCAAGATGTCAGGAACTTGGTTCCCACAGCCTTTGAATGAATCACCAAACTCTTGGGTGACAGCCCTTCAAAAGCACAATGAATTTTTAAAGCAAAGTTGTTCTTATGATAAAAATAGGTTTATGCTAGAAAACACCAGCAGTTTTAAATGTCAGGAGGAAGCCAATGTCATTCACTCTCTAGTAACAATTCAGCGTTTCTCGCTTCAGGAAGCACCCCACGGCCTGACCACTTGGACACTGGCTGCATGTTTCGTGTTTTCAGTTACTGTAAGCCACCCTCACGAAGGAAATGGGCAAGATCACCTTTTGTAGTAAATTCTGAGCCTTTTCTCCTGGTAGCAGACGTAAGCCAGCGGTAGCCTTGAGCACCAATGGGGTGGCCTTCCAGAAGTCAAAAGGAATTTCTTGTTTAGCAACATCCAGCAATTCCTGAATACCCGGAGTGCTCTGTGAACGGGTAAAACAGGGTCTGTCAACACTTAGCTTACACTCACAGATGCTCCCTCACCCTTTGGTTTTTATTAACTTATAAATACATAGTTTCTAATTTTCCAAATCAGTATAAAACAGCAACTGAAGTGGTGCTGGCAGGTGTGTGGGGCACAAGGACCAGGAAAGCACAGAGAAATGTCCTTGGCAGAACGTCACGGGATGAGGCACACGAAAGGGGCTCCTGTCCTACACGCCTGGCCACAAAACCCTCACCCGGCGACCTCAGACGAGTGTGACTCCCCTGGACATCATGAGCAAATTCTGGGGTCACTCAGAGTGCTAAAACCCATGAATAATTACACTGAGGGGTCATTTTCACCTGGGGGAATGCTTGATCCAAATACTGGATAAGGCCCTGTGTCTGCGGGATGGGTCGGGGAAAGACTT